CCCCCCCCCCCTCATGGGATTTCTAATGGTCCACCCCTTAACCCCTTTCTTTGCCTTTCATACCCTTTAAATCGTTTTCTCTTTTTCGTCCCCAGTATGACTGTACGAACACGCTGAACGACCAAGTACTCGAGGATGTAACTGTGGATATGGAAGTATCTGAGGGCGAATATGAGATACTAAAGACCATTGCGTGTCCTAGTTTACCCTACAATACCCCTGGTACCACCTATGCCCTCGTCAAGATACCAGACGATCAAACTGAAGGTATAATAATACTACAGAATAAACCGTGGAGCATGCTCACAATTTCCCTGGATTACTTTTCAGATAATATTGCTCTATCTCAGAAATAGCTGCAGCAAAAATTACCTCTTGTAAGATGGCCTTAATTGAAATAGAACTTCACAGGGCTGTATTTTCCTCATTTTACAACATTTCGCAACCAAACTTTGCAGTGTTACTCATTCTAAGATGCTCTTTCTAGCTGTGGTGTTGGATTTTGTTCTTCTTGCCTTGATCAATTTAGTCTATAGTCTAATCACTCATTTCAGTTGAATATTTTTCGTATATTGTAACAATCACTTGACATGGATGATTTTCGTTGTGTAGTTACGGGGACGTTCTCAAATACGATGAAGTTTATTGTGAAAGATTGTGACCCCAACACAGGCGAAGCCGACGAAGAAGGATATAACGACGAATATGTGGTATGTTTAAGACCTTTGTATTCTGGGAGGAAAGCGGGAAATGTCCGTGGAAGGAACTAACTGATAAAACTATCCAGTAGAAAATAAAGTTAATTTAATTTAGTTAGGTTTTTTGCTGTAGTAACACTGGGTCAACAGGGCATGATCCTTGACTGGGTCTCGATCAATATTAACTGTGAATTTATTCCGTTAGTTGGAAGATGTTGAGGTGGTTGTCGCTGACCATGTTCAGAAAGTACTCAAAACAAACTTCGCCGCGTCATGGGAGGAGATTGGGGATAGTCATGAGATGAAGGACACGTATGCTTTGTCGCAGATGAAGAGTTTGGAAGGTAAGGTCAAAAATTCTCTGTGAGATTAATTTTTTTGCTGCTAATCTTAATCTGCTGTAATTAAGATTAGATCTTAATCTGCTAATCTTAATCTGCTAATCTTACTCTAATCTTAATCTGCTAATCTTATTAATCTAATCTTAATCTGCTAATCTTAATCTAATCTTAATCTGCTAATCCTAATCTGCTAATCTTAACCTAATAATCTTAATCTGATAATCTTAATCTGATAGTCTTAATCTGATAGTCTTAATCTGATAATCTTAATCTGATAATCTTAATCTGATAATCTTAATCTGATAATCTGATAATCTTAATCTGATCTTGATCTGCTAATCTCAATCCGCTATGCTTAATCTTTTTTTGTATGGTTTCAATTTCAGAGGCAGTCAAGCAGATTATCGAGTACATGGGCATGCAATCATGTGAGCGATCAGACCGAGTGCCTTCTGACAAGAAATCTCATGTGCTCCTATTGGCCGGCTGTTACCGCGGTGGTCATGATGTCCTGGTTCAAACAAAGCTCGCATTCAGTGATGGCGTCACCATGCAGATCACCGTACGAAGTTCGGAGGCGAACGTCAGCGAAGTTGTCCTGTCGGCTGTCGGTTAATCATATGACTTTGACATAGCTTTGTTCTGTAGAGTATCATACGAGTATGGAATTTGAATTTAACGCTAATTTGAATATTCTGAGAAAATTAAAATAGTTTTGCAATTCGACGTTTGTTTACATTCTGTCTTTTTAAATTAGAGCAACAATGGTGGTGTAGTTTCATCTGTGATATCATGTGTGAGTGTACCGGTTTTGACGTTGAAAATGGGATTTGGTGGGGGGAAAATGACTGGGAAATGGGACTTCCCCTTGGCAAAGTTACTGTGATCACAGTAGGAATTTTGCATGGGTACTATTCTGATTTACCTAAACCAAAATTCCTACTGTGGTCACAGAAACGTCGAAGTGTAAACCAGCCTAGGGACGTAGCGACCGGGGTGTGTGGGAGGTGTAACCCCCCCCCCCCCCCCCACATCGAAA